TGCAGGAGTCTTCGAAAAGAAAACATATGACTTATTTTTCTCTGTCTCACGTACATCCCTATCATAAGGAGAAATCATTGACATTCCAATACATCTACGACAGAACAGTCAAAGCAACAAACTCACGTTCAATCCGTATCAGAAGATGAGAGTCTCCTTTGTTCACGAATCTGCTCGAATTACCAACAGCACCTCACTCATTCAGAAGCAGAGCTCTGAAAGAAAAAACTCGTTTCAAATAAATCGGCCATAAATATCCAGCTATATTATAATCCACTAAGTTTTGTCTAAAGCGGTGTACATGTGTGTGTTTCTTCAGAATTCACAACTTTCTCTTTTTTAACCATGGAGATTTCTAACGGATAAGTGATACAGTGGGTGCGGCTGAAACATCAATGGTGGGTTACAGAAAGTGATAGTAACTGATAAGAGCTGACAAGGAGCGCTAGAAAAGGAGGGTCACGAAGTTCACAGCGCAGGTATGATATAGGGTATGGGGCAGGAACACTGTTGGTGGCTGGCAGAAAGTGTCAAGTACTGATAAGATCCTGATTAGGGGAACTCGCCTGATTCAAACCGCCTATTACATTAACAATGAGAAGTCGGTTCCAACTGGTGTTATAGGGGATGTGACAAGGATATTACTGATCAGCGACAGCAGGAGATGGCAACTGATAGGGGCTGATAGGGGGCGTTGCCGCCGTGATTCTTCTTCAAAGTTGTACGTCTTTCAAACTACCAAATCATAAAGGTCTATCGATATGGACACTGGTGATTAGTGGACTATTGTGCTGTCCCGGAGTCTCATTTTTTATCTATTATAAATGTGTAGTAGCAATGTGAAACCCCAAAAATTTATTTCTTTTCAGGCCTGACGAAGGTGCTCTGCACCGAAGTACTGCAAGATAAGATATATATTTTAAGAAACTTTTGAGACTTTTGGCGTCTTTCAAGTTTTTTGGAATAAATTTTTAGTTTCAGAGTTTTGTTACTACACTGGTGACTACTAGCAAACGATTATATCAAGTGATAAGAATAGATTATCTTCACTTCATTTCTTACTACTACACTTCGAAGTATTTCGTATTGCAGGCTGAGGACGTAGTGATCATATCCTGCAATGCATGTCAAGCGGGGGGGGGGGGGAGGGAAGGGGGATGAGCGATCACAAAAGTTGGAAGTCAATAAAACTGCTTGGTCCTTTGAACTGAGCTAAACTAAATACTTCCAAGTAATGATAGATGTTTTACAAATAAACTACAAACATCGGCTGTGAGGTGTCAGTTATCAGTTCTGTAGGGTTTCCCATCAGATGAGCGCAGTAGTGTGCGGGAACCAAACTGGTAAAATGTATATGATATATAGATGTCTGCATATGCTGTTTTCTACTTTTGTATGCGCGTGTAGTAAATAAGGACGGATAGCATATGCAATTGGCCATACATATTTGTCACAACACATCACATGTTGACATTCAAGGAACCTCAAATGTCAAATATCTACAACTTTTTTCACAGTAAAACGTTCGCAATGACTGACGGTGCTTAAGCCATTCGAAACATCTTTTTTCAAGGGAATGTCCCATTGTGACCCTTTTTCTTTCGACTTCCCCTTTCTAAAAAACACCTCTCTTCTTTCCTATGCCCCCTAGTCAAAAATTCTCTACGCGTAATTGCTGTGGACATTTTCGGGCGGAACGAGGAGTCCGCAGGACCATTTCCAGCTTGAGTATGCTTCTAGAACACATTTTTCCGTCGAAATTACAAAGAAGTGGTTCGTTCGTCGCAGACGTTGACTTCGGCTTGACATCACCTCTGTATTGCGCCGTGTATCCGACTCCCCACGCAGAATATTGGTGAGGGAGGGAGGGGGGGGGACTCGAGCTTTCAGCTTGCCTTTAACTTCAAGTGTACCTACAGGTGTCCCTTTAGGTGTGAAAAATGAAGGAGCTATTCAGGTGTTTTTCAACCCTGAATAACTCCTTCATTTTTCAATTACTGTACGACACCTGAGTATCGCTCTTCCCACTCCCGAACAATTCCCGTGCTTACGATCCCTCCCCCCCCACCCTTTCGCGGTCAAATACGGCCCTTCGTTTTGGTTTTCACAATGATTTCTCGCGTGCTGGGCGCACTGCACCCACGTTTTTGTGCAAAAACGAGTGTAATATTCGTGTTCAGGAGCTTGAAGTACCACTAGACGCGAATTTCCGCCCAAGTTCAAAAGTTTGTCCTAACTTCGAAACAGTTACAATGGCTGCCTACGGTGGCCTTCGGCTCCAGTATCGTGAAAATAACCATTTAGTGGTCTTTGGATCGGCAGTGATTACTGGTAAACGTGAAGCAGAGACTGAGCGAGAGCAGAATGAAAGAAACGAAGCTCTGAAGAGACTCCACAGAGGCTGCGACTGTAAATATAGGCAAATAAATGTGACTTTGCATTGTGAACGAAACGTAGAGGATGATGCGAGAACGTGAACCAGCACTGTTTATTCCAAAAAAAGGCTAAAAAATTAATTCAATCCCAAGATTAAGTCCTAATGCCGTGATTACCCGAGGACTGCTGCTAGGATTCACACCACCCAGTTTTTTCGAAGGTTGAACAAAATTTCAGAGACGGCTGCAAACCTGGCTCCAGGGGTAGTATGAGCCCCTTAACTTGTGACTCATCCAGCACGAAAACGTTTCTGTGGTTTGTTGCAGACCCTGCCACGCCAAGCCTTAGCAATCTAAAGCTGAAAAACCTTCGTAGGTCCGCTCAGAAAGAGGCTCATCAGTTTTGAAGGCAGACTGAGATCAGCGCTAGATGGTGCATTTGCTGGTATAGTTTCCATCAAAAGTGGACAATACAACCTGAAAGCTTTGCCTAGTAAGCTTCAGCCTTTGATAAATGGGGCGTGAAGGCTGGGCCGCCAGTGGCTTCCCCTTTAACAACGTTTGCGCCCTTGCGTAAGAAGAGATTTTCAAACTACTAAAATGGGGGCAGCACGTGAGCTGAGGAAGGGGAGGGGTATTTCCTAACTTTCTGAGCTAATCTGAGACATGAAGGATAATAAGGTAAAGCTTTAAAAGTTTTGTAAAGCTACAAAAAGACATCAGATCATGCTGGAAGACAGAAGGAACAGTTGCGGGCGAGGATATGAGGATCTTGCAGCTCACTAAGCAGGTTTTCGCATTTCGAGTAGGAGTGGTTCACCTACCTCGGGCTCACCCCCTTTTCACCGTTCCCCATCTTTCCCAGCTGAACTTCATTATTTTCAGGTATTGTAATCGTATCAGAAGCAGTTCGTACCACTAGTAGCCTGATTTATTTACGGCTGCACATTCGTAGATTGATTTATTTACGGCTGCACCCAAAGTGCGCAGCGAAACGAACTGATAAGAAACAAACATTCGATTATGGCGCAAAAGGAAGCGAGTATGCGTCTTCGTTCCAGATAGTTACCCAGGAAAGCTCGACACTAGTGAGTAGAAGACATAACAAATCTAATCAAAAGGGATAAAGGTAGGGCACGCCATCATTGTGATGATCACAACGGGGGTCGTATTTGACCGCGAGGGAGAGGGTCGTATTTGGTCGTTGTTTGAGAGGGACTGCCAAAGATCTATACAACTACTATTTCCGATAGTTGAAAATGATAGTTCAATCTGATGACCTCCCCCTCCCCGCTCGACAGCAAATTTGGGTAGAAACCAGAAATTTTCCGGGAAGTTTCGGAAAAACTGGGAGGAACATCTGAGAGATTTTTCCTGTTTCACATTAGGTATATATCCCACTCCCCCTCCCCACGCGGCGGAAAATTCTTGGCTGGAAAAAATGGAAAAAGTAGTAGGAAGTTGGGAGAATCTACGAAAGTGTAGGTAGCATGGGTGCTGTTGAAAATTTTAGCAAAATACCATCGCACCCCAAAGTTCCCTCTCTGGCACCACCCCTCATTTCCTCCTTATCCCGGCTACAATCTTCCTAAATTTCCCGACTTTATACCACTTTCCGGAGTTTCTTCCGTACATCTTCCACGTTTTCCCAAAAAAATGCCCTCGAATGGGTATTATATAGTGCACAGGTAACAAAAAAGAATCCAGAAATATCAACAACAGAAGATCGGTGAGATTCCCCAACGCATGACGTCTCTGAACGCAAAACTATCAAAAAAGCACAACTCCACCTTGGAAGACTTCCGCAACATTTAAACCTACTGCCCACTGAACGAATGAAGCAAAACATGATCTGACCGAGAATGCGAAAACAGAAGGGACCGGAAGTCGCAAAGCCGCATGAAGCTGAGCTTCAGGCTTCAGCTCCTGCCCTCTGTTTTTGGACGAGTTGTCCTGCGCGCGTTTTATGAAACTGCGGACCCTCCACCCTAAAATCCGCCTGTTTCCTTCGACGTCCATCGTGAAAGCATCGCGCAACCCTGATATTCGTGTTTACTTCTACTTTTTATGGAATGCTTTGAAGAATTCGGGCCATACTCTATGGGTGATAAGCTTTTCTGCGAGTTTGAGTTCCTACAAATAAGTGCAGTCGTTTGGGGTCCAATTAATGATTTTCCGAGTACAAAACTGGAAGTGGAAGGGGTGTTCTGGGGAGTTTTGTATCCTAGCGTTCCGTATGAAATGAATTCATTAAGGTACCCATTAATTCCCGTGGAGTGTTGCTCAGGTAAGCCCGCTAGTTTTGCAGTGAATGCAGAGTACCTTTTTGCCTGTGGCATTAAGTAATCCCAAGGTTTCCCCGATGATGGATGAGGTACGATTGTGAAGTTCGTAGTAATCCAGCATTTCATTTCGCCTGCGCTTGGAATCACTCCATGTTGGCATTCATTTTCTCCAACAGCTCACTGTCTGCGATAATTTTCCATTATCTGGTGTTTATTTTTCCGCATTTCGCGCTGCTTGTTAGGAACTCTTAGTAATTAACATTCCTCCAGTTCCCGTCCTTGTCTCGGACGTCCAGCCCGACGTTTTGGACGCAGTTAAACTTGGAATAACTCCAGCGGCATGGTGAGAATGTCTATCCAACAACATCTTCTGTGTTTTTTGTAACTTCCGATCCAGTCAGTTGAAGTGAAAAATGTAAATGCATGGAATTGTTTTCAGGCTTTGTTTGGATTTGGACAGTCAGCTGATATTACGATAAAATTGGATGATGAAGAAACCCGAAAGGTTATTTTTCTCGTATTATTTACTCGATAGAGGACACATTAGAAGCTGTAGTAGCAGATCATGAAGAATCTGCTGTTCTGCGAAAAAATTTTATTTTTCCAAAGATGTGCATTGTTTATGACTACGATATCGAAGAATTTGCCTCATGCAAGGGATCATGTACAAATATAATGTGAAGTTGGTAGAGTTCCAGTTTCACTCTGTCACAGGCTTCTGTTTGAAGTTAACGTAATCACCAAAAATATTCCCTTTTTGAGCCTACTGCATATAGTTGTGATCTGACTTACAATGGGCCTCTTAAAGGCAAAGCCGCGATCATTCGCCATCACAAATAGTGGACTAGGAGGTTCGCATATAGAGGACAAACAAGGTGCTGAGTAACTCGATAGTGAAGAAAAAGCAGAAAAACATGCCACCTGCCCTAAATAGAACCCCATTCCGATCCCAGTTTGTACGTGCCCAATAACTCCATCTCCAACACTACGCCCTCCGCACAGCTGATTCCCCGATAAGAACTCTACGACCGTACAAGTGACGATTTTCATGCTTTTTCGTCCTGCAGCTTCGTTTTTCACTGAAAGGGGGCCTTGAGGCGGAGTCACTGGAAAAAAGGAGGCGTCACTGAACCTATATTGCGCTATAGCGCCCTCCCTTACAATTTTTTTTGCCGCGGACCTGACGCCATATTTTCAATTTCTATACCGGATGATCGCGGACCGAGCCTTTAATGTTGAAAAGTGTCTCACAAAAATCCTGTTTCCACTTTTTGAGGAGATCGGTCCTTCACCGCATGGGGCAGAAGGCCTTTGCTGTGTTAGTTGTTGGTATAATGTACTATTATTAGCAGCTAAAAGCGGCTCTCCGCTGCTGCGTTGGTGTACTGCGGTGGTTCCACCTAACAGCCTCGACGGCCCACAAAAAGACTACCAAAGTTAATTTCTTGAGAGTGCGTTTACACTTTGAGCGACTAGTAAAGAACAGGTATCGCCCCAGCTTTCCAGCGTTTTTAGCGACTAGGAAAGCGCAGACATCTAGCGTTTTGGGCATCCTTCAGTGTTTTAAGCGTCCGCCAGCGTTTCCAGTGATTTATATTGCTAAAAACGCTGGCCACGCTCTGAACGCTAGTGGTCGGCCAGGACGCTAACAATGCCGCTACTTTCCTAGTCGCTGAAAGTGCTAGCTGCTCGAAAGGCTCAAAAGGCTGAGGCAAAGTTAGAACGCACTGTAAGGATGCCTGGCGTTATTCATATTTTTTATTGTGTCCGAAATTCTACTCTCTTAGGTCTCGTAGCTTAGCCTAGCCAGTTTCGGACATGTAGTACTAGTTCTACAATATTTCCAGTATATCTGGTTATTTGATTTCGCTTTTTCATTTCTCTAAAGCTTCAAATTTAGCCCACTTTTTCAGACAGCCAAAATAAGAGGGGAAGATGGCCAACAAGAAACTCACTACCTGTTCTATGATGGCGAAACCATTGCTGGAACGGTAAATGTTGCCCTGAAAAAAGCAAATCAGAAACTTGAGCACCAAGGGATTCGAATTGAATTCATTGGACAAATTGGTTAGCCTTCCTGAGTTTCAAATTTCTTTGACTGGTATAAATTTTTTTACTATGAAATGCTGAGTTTGCTTATTTTCAGAGGTATATTACGATCGTGGGAATCAGCAGGATTTCATTTCCCTGACGAAAGACCTTGCTAGACCTGGAGAATTGACGCAGAATTCGTCGTTTCACTTCGAATTTCACAATGTAGAAAAACCATACGAGTCGTACATGGGCATTAATGTTAAACTAAGGTGAGTTGAAGTTAAAGTGTGAACTGACATTGGCTTTTCTTTCTCTATACTTTCAAGTAAACTTCTTATTCCATTTATTAAGGTACTTCCTTCGTGTTACTATTGTTAGACGAATAACTGATATAACAAGAGAGATGGATCTTATCGTTCACACTCTGAGCAGTTATCCTGATGCCGACGTTAATCTCAAAATGGATGTATGTTTTTTTCGCTTTCTGTTGTTCAAGACTTCCTATTTGCTCTACAGGTTCCCCTTTTATCCACTGTTGTTTCATTCCTCCATCATTTCCCAAAGATCTGCCGTTGTTCATTCATTAGCCATTGAACTCTATATAGTGAAGCAATCACTGTGCTCCTTATTTTGACTGAAAATCACCATACAAGGGGAACCAAAAGAAGATACAGTTTTCCTCGACTTTCAAGGCTATAAGGTTACACTTTTTGAATTCTGATTGGGCATTTCCACCACCATATTCAACAGCATATTGTATACTATCGTGATACTCCGCCACTACCTTCTGGACGAGGATTGAGCTCCGCCCGTACCAGGTAATTCAGGGTGTTTAGGTCAGGTGACACACTTAGATATTCCGTCTTCTTCAGGTACTCAACGCCCTTCCATTCCAAGTAGGCGAGAGTTTTCCAACGCCCTTCGATTCCGTGTGGAGGCACCCAATCCTGTAGCAGTACGAAGTTTCCAAGATGGTACGGGCGACGACATGAAGGCAGGATATTCTCCTCGAGTTGTCGATGTAACCGTCAGCGCTCACCTTCAGTCCGGGGTCCACGAAGAAAATATCGGTCTTCCCATTCCAGGTACTTCCGGTCCATACCATCAACCTTGGCGACTGCAGTGAAGATGATAACCTGGACCGTAGCACGTTGTCGGACGTTATGAGCGTCTTCCAGATCAAGAGCTAATGGGTCTCCCAGGGCAACTGTCCCAATGGTGCACTTCCAACAAGCCAACTTTTGCGCTTTTGCTTGTGACAAATGTGTCCTTCTCCAGTCAGGCTGCGATTGGAGATGACTTCATATTTGGTGTACATGAAGGTGATGGGCGAGAGCCAGCTCCTGCTTATCGAGGAACATCTTGGGTATCTTCCGCCCTGGTACTCGTATCCACGTCTCTGTCTGGGCTGCGAAAACTTTGCTGATATGTGACTCGGCCAAAGTGTCTTTTTTGCCCCCCCCCTCCCCCGTCCCTGTAATTGTGGATTCTTTCATAATCTTGCACTCCTTTTCAATTTGCTTCGTTTCACCGCTGTCTTTTTTCTCTTCCATATATAAGTAAGTAACATATGTAACTTTGAAACTTCGGCACTATTTACCCTTTACTGCCCCAGTCATCCGAAATCAGGCCAGTTCCTGACCGACTTTTTTCTCCGTGGGCAGATTTTGCTCAAATGTTGTCTCCTGGGGTAGTTTGACCTCCAGAATACGAATATCACATTCGCTCAGCCCGAAACTTCCTGGCGCCCGCGCCACAGGCGCCAATGATTTGGGGTATTTTGGCGCCGGTGCCCGTGGTGCGGGCGCCAGGAGGTTTCGGGTTGAGCGGATGTGATATTCGTGTTCAGGGGGTCAAACTACCCCTGGGAGCAAGTTTTCAGCGAATTTGGTGATTTCGAGTATTTTGGCGCCGGCGCCCGTGGCGCGGGCGCCAGGAGGTTTCGGGTCAAGCGGATGCGATATTCGTGTTCAGCGGGTCGAACTACCCCTGGAGCCAAGTTTTCAGCAAATTCTGCCCACGGAGAAAAAAGTCGGTCAGGAACTGGCCTGATTTCGGATGGCTGGGGCAGTAAAGGGTAAATAGTGCCGAAACTTCGGACTTTGAAGCAAAATGCCATGAATTTCTCAAAAATCACATGTTTTTCATTTTATTTTATTATATACTAGATCGTGCAAAGTGGCAACTGTCTATTCGAGAAATGAGCCTTGCATCAGGGGGACAGCGTCAAGAAGGACGGAAAGAAGAAGACCCTTCTCTTTCTCCCACGTGCTTCTCTCAATTGTGATCATTGCACCTACTATACCCTTTGCCTGATCTCGTTTGCTGAATAGAAACTTGCGAACACTTTTTCTCACGGCAAAAAGGCGAGGAGACAAGATCGTGAAGAGCAGATGTTTTGAAAACCCTGACCGGAACGTCATTTTTGAGGGCCAGGTTTGAACGAAGCTTAAGTCGTTTAATCCCGCAGTGTTGAAAGTATCGTATATTCAACATGGAAATAGGTTTCGGAACCGTAAGACTGTGTTCACTGATAAATTTGGAGAAATGAGGAGTCTGTGTGTAAAAGGAAGTGTACGTATCCATCTGAAGAACCGTGGAATTGGGAGAAATGCAGAACCTGGAGGAAACAAGTATGAGTATCGGTTTGAAGAAATGGTGAATCTGCAGAATTGCCTACATAATCCCTTTGGATCGGCATTTCTTGCAGTGGTGGGCTGAGCGATCAATCCCTCTCAAGCCTTTGTTCGTCATGTCAGCTTTTATATTCTGCATTTCTCACAGTTCCACTGTTCTTCAAATCGATACGTAAGCTTTCTTCTGTCCGCTGTTCCGTCATTTCTCCAAAGTAGTCATGTATGAATGAAGCCGAAGATAGAGTGTCATCTCCGT